TTTACTATAGTTAATTTTTTTTCGTTTATTCCCTGTTTTGTTTTTAACGTTAATGGTATTTTTTTTTATCTTTAAGATGTCGCTTCTATTATATACAATGTGTCCTACGATTGTGTTCCCGACTGAAAAAAAATTGTAATTTACGAGAAAAAAACATCATTCTTTAAAAAAAATCTTGTCTTCAAACTGTTCAAAATGGTGTTACTTTCTTGATTTTATACAAAGGGTGTTAAATATTTTTGAAACATTTAAAAATGGGTCGAATCAAAGTTATTAATTCCAAGAAGATTGTAGATTGAAGTGTCACTTGTTTTATAAAGAAAATAAATATTCGACACACTTTTGATTCCCGGAATTGTATCAAAAACTATGTAACAAATGATAATTAACAAAAATCTATCGAATTGAGATCTGGGCTTTTAGTAGATCATACAATTTTACTGATTCTTTCCGTTCCTTTATTGGTTTATGGAAGAAAATAATAACATTTTTCGGAGTTTGAAGACAAGCAGGCTTTTTTATAAAGAAATGGCGTTTTATCATTTTATATACCTAGAAAAAAATTGACACAACTACACTCAAACACTAAACATTTGCGCATATGATGTTCTAATATATACAGAGTGTTCCTTGATTAATATATTAAATGCATTTTTGTCGCAAGATTTTTATTTTTGGGGCGAATCACTGAAAAAAGTATATATCACGAATTGTTCACATTTAAATTTTATTTAAACAATTATTGCAATTGTAAACGGATTTAGGTGATTAAATTTATGTATTAAAAACCCGAAATAATAACACAGTAATTTTTTACAAAGCATTTTTTCGTGTCTAAGTTTTATTCTAGCCCGTATGTAAAATTTGTTGTTTTGTATGCATTATGCGACTATAAATTTTGTTAATTCCTTGGCATTTTAAGCGGCATTTTACGATTTTAGTGTTTAATTTTCGACAATATTTAAACAACTGCGTTTATTTATTTCATTATTCTGCGTATAAAATTCAGAACAGTTTTACTGTCAACTTTAAAAAATGAAAATAGCATGCTATTTGTATATTATGAGACTCGTATGGTTTTCAATTTTTTAAATCTGATTCCGCTCTTCAGAGCAAAAACCTTAAAAATTTAATCCGGATAGGTCCCTGAGATCGTTCACGAAATATAACACTGCAGGATAAGGAAAAGGAGGAAGAAAATCGGGCGTTTTCAGAAAAAAACACCTTGGATAAAAATCCCAAAGGAGAAATGGGAGAAGATGTACATTATAGATGACAGAATTCGATTCATACATTGTACAGGGTCGTTTAGTGGCTTCGTTTTGGATATTGCATTTACTGAAGGCAAAAATTGTTTTAAATGCGAAAAAAAATGAAAATGAATATCACCTTAAGCATTGGATAAGTGAAAATGACCAACCAACTCAACTCTCTCAACTTTTGCAAAGCCCACCTTGTAGAAACCAGGCAATTTCCTGTCGACAAAAAAACATCAGCAAGGGCAGAAGTTGGATTACTCTACTTTTAATTATACAAGACCCTACTGCGTACTGTTTTACTCTTTCGGTAGATGGTATCGTCGCTACATTTGCATATTGTATCCTTTCGCCGTTTGATTGAATTTATACGTGATACGTACTACGCATTTTTTAACGAGAAAGCAAACGCAGGAGCCTATGCGAACCAACAAAACATATAGTTTTTGCACTGTGATAAACATGAAACGCGTTTGTTATTGGATTAGGTAATGTCGGATGACTTTAAATTGTGCTGGTGTAAAAAGAAATCGAAATTCTATAGCAGAAAAGTTGTTCGTTTCATTGAAAATATCGCTAGTGATAAAAATATAATGGGAAAAACTAGAAACAAAGTAAAACCGCTTCTACCTGTGCGCACAAATTGTTTGCAGTTTTATTACTCTTCGAAAATGTCAGTATTTGTCATAAAAACTAGAAATTTTTCTGTATCGATGGATCAGGTCGATATAAAATTGTCCACAGTCTGGTAACGCCTCATTAAGGCCATAAAAATTAGTGCAATACATCGGGACAAACAGAAAAGCTTTCCTATTGACTGTATTGTCAATCGAAAATGTACAGGTCAACGGTCATCCCGGTAAGGTTGTTCAACTGACTCCAGAACTTTTCCAAACAGAGGTACTATAATTAAACGAGAACGAGTTCGTTAATTATTGCAGTTTTAATAAGTTGGCACTTCTGGAAATGGAGTGACTGAGTGTCGGTTTTAGAAAGTCAGGAGAATTTCGTCGTTTGGGGCAAATGTGGGCTTGAGCAGAAATTATAAATGCAGTAAGACAATAAGTTTGAATGTAACGAAATGTAGACGTATAGCAAAAAGTTCTGCGGATAGGGATATTCAATCAAAAAAACAATTGAACATCGATTTACCAAAATATGACCGAAAAAACAATATTTTTAGAAACACAGATCTTGTCAGGATGATATTTAAAAGAAAAAGCATCCCTTATACTCACGTAAGGTAATTTTTCCCTCGTGAATCGGTCCCGGGAGAAATTACCATGAATTTTTTATGTGGGTTACCTGGATCGAGGCGTATACCCTTATATCAATTAGACACATTTTCTTGCACGGTGGAACTTGAAAAATTAATAGGTATTGATTAGGCGTAAACCTAATTTTAGCTCTAATTCATCCAAAGGTGAGGCGCGTGCTTTGTTCTTGCTTTTTATTGCGTTGTAAATCATCAACGGTGACGAAGGGTTGAAACGTAGGTACTTTTGCTGATGATTCATAAAGGGCTTCGCAGCTAGTACTCGTAAAATACATATTTCATCACCTTCACCACAGATAGTGCTCTGAAACAAGAATTTTACTAAACTTTCGAATAGCATTAGCGTTAGAAACCTATATTAGAGCACTGAGCGGTGTTAGGATCCTTTACAAAAAATTTACTACACTTTTGAATACAATTAAACTACGTCTACTGTTGTAAGTGAAACTAGGATTCATTAAGGACTAAAATATCCTATCTTCGGCTTCTAGACTTCCCGAATTCGGTTTGCGTTCAAAGTTAGTTCACACCACGCGCAGATATCAGAACTTCTTAACTGATATAATGTGGCCAACCCTTCCTGGGCATCGAGAAAGCCTAATTACGCCGAAATTGAATTTGGCGAACAATTTATTTCATGCGAACTTCTGATCTTGACCTTTGTCATCCTCCTAATCTTAGATTTATCATGAATTCGTCCTTTCGATGTCGGGGACGAGCGTAATCGCTCTTTTTTTAAGTTTCGGATACACATCAGTCGCCTAGCCCTTCGTGATAAGCCGACTGTCGAAAAATGATACCGCTTTCACGGTGTATCCAATATTTATTGATAGGGTGTCGTCCTTGCTCCTTCAAAAAAAGTCCGGTGTCGCCGGGTGGTATATTCTTTTACAATTAATCAAAAAAGGAAGAACACGAACTCATGTATGATATTACAGTTTATTTGCTTCGCTATTTCGGCCCATACTTCTCGTTCCGCTCAAGTCATGCTCCTAAATATATTCATGGGCGTGTTGATTAATCGCCCTTATCACTTACATTATGTACTAGGTGGGTAACACGACCCTTCATTATTTTTAGATGCGGTTTGCTCGATAATAGTTCGCATTGTTTCGCGTAAGTATGTTACAAGAGCTGGAGTTATTTTGTCGTTTTCTTCGCGATAATTTTCAAGTCACATGCTGTGATATGTAACCTAACGTACCATATTAAGATCCGTAGTTAACAGAATAGTAATATGACAGCCATTCGTTTTTGTTTTCGGTCACTTGCAAACCATTAATTCAAACCAACCCACGGTCGTTTATAATCAGAGTATTTTTGGTGCTACAAATAATTTTTTCGCATTATGACTGATAATATTCTATTTTATTTAATTCAAAATCGTCTACTAAAGTGGCACTTTACCACATGAAATGTCACTGTTAATGAAATACAGTTTGACAGAAAATTGTTTATTTAAATATTGGAAACATTGTTATTTTTTTTTTCGTAACTTCAAAACGGTTTAATATTAAATCACAAAATTTTGGGGTTCTACGAGTATTACTATTTATATGCTTTATAATCGGTATAATACACAAATTTGCTACAAAGGCCTAAGAAAATGCGGGATCATGGAACAAATTTTACAAATTTTTTTGTACGCAATTTTTTCTACTTCCTGAACCGAAAATATGAAAATTTATCTTGAAGAAAAATTCATCTACGGTAAACGCCAATAGAAAAATTTCCGGATGTTTTTTTTTCATAACTGTTTAAAATAATGTTTGATTTGCTACAAAACAGAGGTGTAAAATTTATATATGTCTTTTTTCCCGTGAGTTATTTCGTCTTCACGCAGTTGTACGATGCTTAGAAATGTCGCGTGATGGCAAATTATCGGTGTCGGGCGAGAAAGAGAACATTATATTTAATTTCGCTTTTTAATGGAGAAAACTTTGTATTCCAACACAATTAGTGACATTTACTGTCTTTTCGGCATTGTATAGTTCGTTATTTGCGAAGTTCAGGATTGTTTTTTGGATGAACCTTACACCTAAGCATTAGGATACATTTAATTAGAAAGTTAATTTACTCTCCCACTTCTTCCTAACTTGACAGACATGTGATAGTGATCTTTATAGAATTAAAAGTAAATTAATGCAACCATTACTTCAAACAAGTATACAGAACCCCGTAGACTTTTAGTAACTGCACTTTTTGTTTCGTATTTCCACATCGTAGACAATCATAGCTTGATTTCAGCCCTTATAAAAGCTATTTAACAATACGGTAGTAGAGTAACAACTATTAGGTACTATTCTAGACAATGTTCACTACATTTGGCACCTAGGAAAGGATATTAGACTAGTTTTAGTTGAGTCCGACGTAACAGAGATAGAGCTTTTACCATAAAATAGTTGTGCACAGTATTCATTGGCAGAAGAATAATAATATTACATTACTTGCAGTAAAAAACGTAGTTCTAAAAGTTGGACAACATGTCCCAGCAACCAAATAGCGTTGTGAATGGTCCTTATACCGAATATAACGCCCCGATGAAGGATGAAATAATTAACAAGGACATGGTAAGAAAATGTAGTGTGTTTAGTTCAAGGAATTGTTTTTTAAAATTTAATATAGTCCCAGTTTCAGTCGACTATACTATAATTTTTATTTTGATGACTGTATTGCGTATATAAAATTCGTGTCGTAATCGACAAGTTACGTGTTTAGTTGTCCTTATACACTTAATGATAAATTCAGTACACCTCGTGGAAATAAAGTAAGAAGATATAGAGACCATTTAGCAAATGTATTCATTTTAGACAGAATGGTACGGGAACTTCTATTGACGTTTCTGTATAGGTGCATGTTTAATTCATAGAGTCGAAGGGATTTTATGAAAAGTTATTCAACTAGGCTTCTGTCATGCAATCCTGTCTGTTTTATTATGGGACCGATGGCAGGGGTGATAAAAATCTAGATGTTCGTGTAAAAAAAGGTCCAAAGAAAAGCTTTTTGGTTTAATTAATTAAAATATATTATTACAAAATATATAAAAGTTTTGAGAAAGTGTTCATTTTGTAGAAAAAAGGACATAATATTATTACACATTATTTAATTGTTGCCCATTTTAATACACTGGCCAGCTAATATCCGGATTTATATCCCATTGAGATTGTAGAATTCCACTGAAACTGACAGGTAAAAGAAGTGATGTATCGCCATGAAAGCCCATTTGGAATATTTGCTTTGAAAGTCGGTAAATCTATCCTGAACGCGAATGTCGTTTTAATATATTATATGTATCGCTTCTTTTGTACCACCTGACCCGCTACGAAGATGATGGCCCATCAGACCCGCCCGAGCCTGGCACTGTCTCCAAAACAAAATTCCAACCCCCCACACTTAGAATCTGCCCGACTTTTTTCCTTAACCTCCCCCTTCGATTGCTGCGATGTCAGTTATTTGTGTAGCGCCGCATTTTCAGAGTTATGCGAAATCGATACTTGTTTGAATCTGGAGACGGATGTGACTAGCGTAGGAATAAACTGCTGCACATTTTTATTCTTTGAGGCCGATATTCGGCCTTGCTCCGCGAAGGAAAATGGGAAGTCGAAGGTTGCACTTGCATGTAATAGGGTTATTTGGCATATAAAACCGTTTTATATGTTGCCTAATTTTTTATTGGTCATAAACTTAGATCGTAATGTGGCATATCCGGCATTTATTGAATTATAACGTATATATTATAATCAAACTAAGATATTAACGTCGTTCTATTCTGCCTTATTTGTTCCTCATAGTTCTTGTAATATAAGTATTTCAGTCTTATCTGAACTCGTGTAAGATATAATTCTTGTGCTAGCCTACCGTCCAACAGAACGGAAGCAATTCTCAGCCACAACAACCCCCACAGTTCCCACATCAACCCCCACAGCCTGCTGGGCCAGTCAACCCTCTGCGACCCCTAACGAGAATCGACAGCCGCAGTTCTTTCCAGTTCCGGCCCCCATTTCCGAACCAACAGGGCGCCCCTGTCCGACCAGGACAAGTCCGACAGCCTACACCACCTGGTACCCAACAGTACATCCAAAGGAACCCAGTTCCCGGACCTGGACAACGTCCCCCGATAGCTCCAGCTCCCCCAGCGCAGGCTTTCCCCCAGGCCCAAAACAGGGACAACTACAGACCCGTGACACCGTTTCCCAGAGCCCCAGTGCAGCCCCAGCGACCTCTGTTCCAGCAAAGATCGGTGCCGGCTTTTGCTACGCAAAAGCCCCAGCTTCAGGAAGAGAACTTGAGTAGAAGTCAAACTCTGGATACTACAGAGATTGATCATTCTAAAAGCGCAGATGAGAAAAATACGTCGAACGATCATATCAAAGCACCCTCCATAGCAGCGATGAACAACAGGAGCTACAGCTTGAGCTCCAACCCTCCAGAGCAGTCTAACGAAGCTAAGGAGGAAGCTAGAAGGAGGTCTGTCAGCAGCGTGGATAGCCTCGGGGAAGGCAGACCAGGTTCTAGACACAGTTCTATCTCTGGGTCTGCCGAAAATCTAGACAAGAAGCAAGACAATGAGGTACCGTCGAGGCCTGAGTCAAGAGCCATGTCCAGAATGAACAAAATCATTGAAGACGAATCTCCTAGTTCTTTAACTGATGTGTCACAGAAAAGTCCAGATCTGAGCGAAAGATCTAGACCAGCAAGCAAGACTCCTGAGAACAACTTCAGCAATAAACCCACATCTCCAAGCCCAAAACCACAAACGCCCGTTCCAAAATCTCCTAGTCCTGTCCCTCAGTCTCCTAGTTTCAAATTTCAACCACAAAGTCCTGGTCTCCAAAACCAAAACCAAACTTATTCGCCTCAGTCGCAAAGTCCTAAACCCCCGCTAAGTCCTGGACCTCCAAGAACTCCCAGAGACAGGAACGTTTCACCTCAGCCCCCATCACCGCACAGCCCCAATCAGAACGCTAATAAAGTTGTAGACGAGAAAGGGGCAAAAGGAGCTGCTGGCAGACCCGAGAGGTTGCTGCACCTGGAAAAACCAGCAAAGTCGAAGTCTCCATCGAAATCAGGTTACTATTTTCTTGATGTAGTGGTTAACTTGTCGAAGATGCTGCTTCAGCCAATTCTAACTGTAACCATTTGTTTCAGAAGGCGATAACGACAGTGGCGTGGACGAATCGACACAGGGAAATGTAAGTATATCCTCTCTACATATAATTTTTTACTGTAATGACAATATTAGGACCCCTCGAGCAACGGTGAAAACAGATCTCCAAGGAAGTCCAACAAATCCAGAACATCGTCCACCACACCAACCGCGAGGTCGTTGTCCAGGGGTTCAAAATCTCCTAGTTTAAAGAGTCCAGATTCAAACGCCACCACCCCAGGGTCGGCCACGGAAAAAAAGAGTAAGATAAGATTCCCCCTTTCATAGATTTGTTAAATAAAAACTGATTTTCTTGTTGAAGAAGTTCCTATGAATAAGGTACAAGTGGGATCGGCACCGTCACCAAATCTGAAGGTTGTCAAATCGAAAATAGGATCTTTAGACAACGCTAGTTATAAACCGGGTGGGGGTAAAGTTAAAATAGAGAGCAAGAAGTTGGACTTCAAGGCTGCAGGGCCCAGGATAGAGGCTAAAAATGACAGATATATGCCTAAAGGAGGAGAAAAGAAGGTAAGTAACAAAAAAATAGACAAAAATATTTAAAATTTATAATTAGTACTCGTAGAAGATTATTCCTAGTAACCTTAAAATCAACAAGACTGATAATATAAATGTTATAGTTCATATACAGTAATATATATTTTTATTTTAAATGTGTTGGTCCCTTCTCAAAGAAAACAGAAGTGTTGGAACCAATATCTGTATTATAAACTGTACATATTCAATTTATATCAACTATTACAGTAGTACATTAATAAAAAATAGCTAGCTATTGTTTAGAAGTATATTTGTATCGCACAAAAGTATTCTAGTTTGAAAATTTGTATATAACGTACAATACAGCGTCCGTTGTGTCATTTCTCTACAGTTGTAGCAATTCTTTGACTGTCAGTAAAAGTAATACCGAGGTTTCATACTTTTTTCGAGCTAGTGATAATGTCTTCCTTATATGGAGTCTGCAACCTGCGTTGGATGTTTACAATTTCTGAACTAGCAAACTTCTACGACTTGTAAAACTCTATAAGGTATAAAACTTTCTTTATTCTTTCTTTCTCGTTTCTCGCAAAGCTATTAAAGTTCAAACTGTATTTTTACCGACTCGAGAATTGCTCTGCAAACAGGGACAAGCGGCGGCGCTGTTCATCCATGCAGCAGTCACGGTATCCATTGACGAGTAATTTTTGCACCTAGATAGTACACCAAAAGTTACACTGGAACGCGAAATCAAAAGTAGGTTCGTTAGAAAACGCCACGTACAAACCGAAAGGAGGTGACAAAAAAATCGAGTCCGTCAAGCTAGACTTTAAGGGGAAGGCCAAGCCAAAGGTGGGGTCCAAGGACAACATCAAGCACCAGCCCGGTGGAGGCGACATCAAGGTAAGAACTTTACTCTGTGTTGGCTTTTGGCGAGGTGTTTGATTGGTCAAATTTCGGAACCATCTCCAGTCTTATTTTTTTGTACACTGAACGTATTTTTAGTCTGAGGCAGTTATGGAGGAGAAAGATACTGGTAACGAAAAAAAATCCACTAAAAACGATAAAGATGTGAGTAAATTTCCAGCGGTGTATATATACTGCTATGTAGCAATCACCAATATGTGTTGTAGACAGCGTAGAGTCGTTTTCACAAAAAAAAAGTGTTTGTATCTCACTAAAATGTAGGCTCGCACCCTATGAATTGGCATATACATTGTGGTATAGGCTGTGTGAAAATATGTTCTAATGACAGTCCAGGTGCAGCATAGTATTTGGGTGGATCTAATAATATAACAAGGCAATGAGGCGTGATTCAACACACCCTCCTTTTTTGGCATTTTATCTTCCAGATCTAATTTGTACTGTTACTTTAATTACCTAATGTTCTTGCCCCAAAATGGGACATTATGACCAAGTAATTTATTTAGAACAGGGTTTAATATTTATAAGGAGGCTTATTTTCTAAAATTCCATACTTTTTTAAATAATTTTCATACACCGCCGCTTGACAGCTTAGTATAACGTCAAATCCAATTTGTTTCACTTTTGTTTTATCAATATTTTTTGTACAGTGAACGGCGTGAAGACATTTTGTTTACGTATAGTTAAAAGTAATGCGATTTAGATTGTAATTTATATCCGAAGTCTGGGTAAAGCCCAATTATCACAGTATCGTTTAGAAAATGGGTCTAAACAATAAAAAAAGACACGAAAGCGGATTATAACGTTATGAGGAGCAGGATCGATGAATTGTATACTACAAATTAGAAGAATAATGATAGTTTGACATGGAAGAGGTGGAATGAAAGCCTGAGATAAATTGGTAGAGAAATATAAGCACAAAATTTTGTCGTAATATACACTCAGCAAAAGAATTAAAGTAGCAGAAAAATTTCCGTATATTTTTAGTGATCTTTGAAAGGCTGTAATTTCGTGAATAATGGTCATATCGAGAAGAAAAAAGAAGCCACTTGAAGTTTCTAGTTTTGAAATTTTCAGATGAAAATATTTCTTCAAAATCAAAAGAAATAATGCAAGGCAAAAATTTTACAATTTTTTTTGGAAATTTTTCTGCTCCTTTATTTTTTTTTACCGAGTTTATACATACTGAGTGTCCCAAAGAAACACGAATTCCTACATAATTTTTCATAATTGAGTACTATCTTTAAGTACGTAAGTAAACATACACTCAAATATAATAAAAAAAGCTCACTATCAGATCATTCACTGCCATTAGTTTTGTTGTGTTCGCAATATGAATGTTCGAAAGTTTTAACGTGTGAAACACAATTTTTTTGAGCTACTCACAGGCACTTTGTTGACTTCATTAAGAATAAAATCCAGTACACGAATACTTCGCGGTAATACAGTTCAACACCACCTTTTAACTGGTGCCTTAATTAAAAATACAGTGATACACTGTCTGACCTGACGCTTACTTTTAGCGGAAACCCTTGAGAATTGATTGTTATTATGGCGATAACAGTAACCATAAAAAGACCTTTGCGGTTTAAATGTTGTAATAAAACTGTCACGTCTCTCAACTTCGCCCTTAAGTTTAAAAAAATGTTGGATATGTCAAGTTGCTCGTTTACGAATTTCGTGTAATAAAACCTAAGATGCGGGGAGAGTAGTATAAATAGCCATGAAAAGCTACCTGAACCGCTGTAAAATTTATGGGATATGTGGAGTCATTAATCATGTTATATCAGCTCATCAGTTGAAACCCCAAAAGACATGCTATTAGTGTACGAAAATAACCATTGCAGCGATATAATTGATTCGTATCTTCTGCTCCAAATGCATTGTTCGATAAGTGTAACGTAAAACAAAAAGGTTATGTTTTTGTCAGATTGTGATGTAACTGCTTCTGTGCCGCCAAAGCTTTTTAAAACCTTTGGTTGTGACCTGTACTAACCTGGTGTTGTCTCAGATCGAAACGAAGAAGATCGACCTAAATGTCACCAGCAAAATTGGGTCTTTGGATAACATGAAGCACAGGCCCGGTGGAGGCGACAAGAAAATCTTCGACGACAAAGACTACTTGAAGCAGAAGTCTGGCATCTCCAGCGTAGATCATTCTCTCTCTGGTTCTCAGGTGAGTTTGAGTCGTTGTTTGGTAGCAGAACCCCAGACATCATTCCAAATTGTGTAAAAACATTCATTTAAGTGAAATACTGAGAAAGCTTGCCTTTTAAAGGATTATTTTTGTAAAAGAAAAGCTTTCACAGTGTTTCTGCATATCTTTATTCTTTTCATTGACCATCTTTTCGTTTTAACTTTAACTTCGAGAAGTTATTTCACCTTTTTGCTCGTTTCCTAACGTCGACTAACAGTTTTTTTTTACGTCGTCTCGTTATAATTGCATGTTTGTGAGATATGCTGAAAGCATGGTATCGATTAAACAGAATTTAGTTAGGAGTTTGCATGTATAAATTTTTTGTGCGTCGTAAATGAGAGGGCTTTCATTTTTCTGTACTAAACAAAGCAAATTCTTGCTTCTACCTTACACCCGAGCTTTGTTTTGTTCTCCTGAACCATTTGCACGTCTTCCAGTGTGTGGACGAAACTAAATTGATCTGTTTCTTAACCTGGTCCCAACCTAACCTCCCTTTGAGTTAAAAATTTCTACTAACTCGTCGATTTGTTTTGTGATTTTGGTAATGACAGTGAATTTTTTTGTTAGAATTCACTACCATCCCAACCAGATGCCAATAAAGTCCCAGTGGCAGACGAGAACCTGAACCAGGAACATTAAAACTTTATTCCACGACGAAGACTTGTTTTTTATTTTGTTAGGGAGGGTTTGTCGTTTTTTTTTTCGACAAGTAACTGATTGTCACTGAGATAGCGCATGCCCATTTTAACTTTAAGCAGTTCTGCATGCACTTTAAGTAATACGAAGGGATTCATTTGGAATTAACAATGACATTAACTGTTTAGCTTTATTGTTTTCATTTGTTTTTTATAGCGTAATTTAAAAGGTAATAAATAATAGTTTTGGTGTTGTGATACCTAGGATACGACCAAAAAATTGTGTGTTTGTACTATTCTGTATCAATTTTATTAGTGGGTATATATTCTCTAGCCGGGAGGTTTTACCTAAAGGCTGTCAGTTGTCGAAAAGTTTTGGCATTTCTTTAATCCTTACTTGCTTCGTCTGTTTTATCAGTTCCTTTGACGTTAAAGAAGTGAAAGAAACTTTAGACAATTCATATTTTCTTATATAATATTATATATACGCTGTAACCTTTTTCATTTTCTAGATGATGTTGAGATTGTATCGTTATGTTCACTAAGTATGAGTATTATTATAATAAAATTTGCATTAATATTAATATTGAGCAGCTTCATTCACTGTACCACTTGTAGAAGCACCCACTTCACGTAGAATCGATCCGTAAAGTACCAAAAGCTTTGAAACACGTAAGTATTAGTCGTATACTTGAATACAGAGCACGCGTAGAAAAAAAGATACATTACCGGCGTTTATAGTCCCAAAAAACTGCCTCTTTGCTAGCACAAGTCGTGTCAATGAAAAAAAGTACAGCTTCTCAATAACATCGAAGGATGCTGTCACTTTGTTCATATGTTTTTTTTGAAACCAATCAACCAATATCAAGAACTTATACAGGGTGTAAGAAGTATGACTGCCATATTTTCAGCATGAGATAGTGTATTCATAAATGAACGAAAAAGTTGTATATTACAGGGGCGTAAAATTAATAGTTTTCAATTCGATAGTTTTCAAACTACTGCGAGTATTAACATTGGGAAGTTTCATACAACGTGACAACAGCGCTTAATCTGCACCTTACACGCGGCAAACTTGTCCTACGGAATAATAAAAATGTAAACAACTATTATTGTGAGACATTTAGTAAATTTCAAGGCAATTGTTTTCCAGTTTTCAAATAAATAAAATGAAATGTATCGATTTTGTAGTACGAAGATAGTGTTGTGTTTAAATTTTAGCACGAATTTTAGTAATAATGAAAACACTCGCTGGAAAGCACCTCAAGAAAAGGAAATAGTGGTACACAAAAAACACTCCGACACGGTCCAATTCCAGATACCAACACTAACTGAATTGCGTATTGCTGGACAGCTTAGTACCTCGTGTTAACCGCCCCACCGTTGTCACATTGTTCGATATGAATTTTATCGAATTTTAAATTTATTACAACGCTAATTATTTTTTAGAATTAAGCACAAAGAAGTAAAAAAGTATTTTATGGTATTCTATACACGCAGTTATGTCAATATTCCTTAATCAATCGAACTTTTGCACATCCAGTTGAAGATTTTGATAATTTTTTTCTCGGAAATGGTTGAGATTAAGACCCATGCCATATAACGTTTTTTTGCTTATTTCAATGGATTCTATTGTCTGTTAGAATTAAGATAGTCGAAATTCTAACACCCTGTATAGTCAATACAAGACGTCTACAAACTTGGAAAGTGTAAATAAATCAAAGTATGTAGACGCGATTGAGAAAGAAACATTTTTGGGACCGCTGACGACATCGATAGCTCGGCTGATTAAATATTTGTCCACTGACTTAAAAAATAAAAGGCACTGAAAGCTGAACTGGTAGAACTACCAATTGTTCTGTTTATAACAAAAAATCGAACAAAAACGCGAACGACGCGCCATCTACGGCCACAATTCCAGTGGTTCTCAATAAGTTTTTATTATTATTAATTTTAACGTTTGATTATTGAAAATGCTAAATTATTAGTGCAATTTACTTGTTATCAAAAAACTTCTTCGAGTTTGTAACCACCCCTCCATAAGTAAACAGTTTGGGACTTCCTAGTACTCTTCACAGCTGACCGAGCAGGATAACGGTACCAAGGTGCTGATTTACAGTCAAATAACTACATATCGACAGTGACTCAGTTATATTTTGTATCGCTATTATGTAGAAGTTGACACACGAGCAGAGAAAGTATGATTTTAGTAGATAGCACGCGATTATAGAAGCAACACGTAAGTATCGAGTAAAATTAATTTGATTCGTAGAGTATTTTATAAGTTATCCGCTCCCGTGTACTTTCTGTGACGTTTCCGTGGTTTTAGGAACAGTCGGTTGAGATACACGTGGAAGAATATGTTGAAATCGAGTCTCCAACTCAAGAAAGGTTCTTGACAGTCGTCGAGGAGGAAGAAACTTACGCTTCTGGGAGGTTCTCGAGGAGCGTTTCTGCTAGGAAGAGAAAGGTCGCTGAAAGCCCGCGACCAAAGTGGAGGTTTTAAATGGAGTGAAGAAGAAGATATTTTAAAGTGCTGGAATTTCATCTGTCTACCAACTAGGAAATAGATTAGTACTTCCGGTAGATTATAATTTTGGACGTGCTGGTTCCAACAATGCAGAATAAGCAGGAATGTAGATCTCAGGAGTTATTTTTTTTTATCTGAGATCGAACTCATAACAAAAATTAGAAGGACAGGCGAAATTTTTGGCTTTCGCAACATTATACCTCCAAAAACTTTATCACAACTGGACCTAGGCTTTGTTCTCAAATGTCTAATACAGTTTTATTGCATATACACTGTGTCCCAAAATGATGGAACAAAAAATATTTTTTTCCAGTTGAAATTTTAAAAAATCGCTGCAGCAGGTTACATTTTGAGCAACATTTGGTGTTATGTTACGAACTTCTTCCCTGATACGATTTTTTAATTCTTCGATAGTGCCTGGTCGGTTCACATACACTGCTTTTTATATAATCCCACAAAAAACATCAAGTGGGGTTAAATCAGGGGAGCGTGGTGGTCATTCAAGCGACCCTCTTCTACCTATCCATCGATTTGGTAAAACTTCATTAAGGTAATTTCTTACATCGAGGCGAAATTGTTCCATCATTTTGGGATACAGTGTATATTTACAAGTATCTATTGATACGAAAAATCGTAGTTAAGAAAAAGAGTATATCAAAAATAACACTTTTAATTTAATTCTAATAACTATTAGGGTGTTAGAAAATAAAATCCTTAACCTATTATGATTACAAACAGTTATTTTGCACCAAAAACTTTATTCTTAAGAATTAAGTGAATTTTTTATTACAACTTACTAGAATGTTAGGACACCAAAAAAATTGAACAGCACTAAAACATAACTTGGTGCCTAAACTGACAGCAATACCTCTGATATATTTGTTTGTGTCATTAATACTATATTTTCTATCACACGATTCTCAAAAGAAAGTGAAGTATCTATGTTAACATTCTATCCATTGTGTTTTTATTATATTGATATTCATCATCATGTAGTTGGGACAAGCTCCCTTTAGTTAGTTTGCTAAATAAATAAGTGAAAACCAAACGTGCTCTTTCCTTAAGGCGACCCAGGTCTACATCTGATTGAACTGTATGATCACGATGAAGTAGGTGGTGGTGGTCCCGAACAGGGTGAACAGAGTGCGGCAGTTGACCTCGAAGAACCCAGCAGCGGTAAAGGCCGGTTTGTTGTTGATGATCTGGTTGGCCAGGTTCAGCAACTCCTGCTTTTCTTCGGAGAACGTCGGAAAGTAAGCCTGGTACTTGTAGCAGGTGGTCACCAACTTCTCCGCCTCTTTCACCGCCCAATCGCAGCTGAACATCACCAAAATTGGACCGGCCTAGAATAAACAATTATCGTTATATTCAGCTCAAGACAATAGAGGGGGTGGATAATGGAGGCACATACCACTGAAACGATGGATAAGCATATGAAATTAGAGAGCAAATGAACTAAAGGCATCGTTAATCCACCAACTGTTGACCCTCTGGCTAAATTGAAACACGTCAATTCCGTAGCTGTTGAGTGGAACAGCGACAATACCATTTCCCACCCAAATAGCTTGTTGTATGTAGCAACAGTATCGCCTAGCAACCCATAGAGAAGGGATGCTGTTCTTGTTGTTCTAGGCACGTTCCAATTCCAATAACAACACCCCTTGATCAGATAACGGTTTAGATCTTGATACTTGCATTTGATGGCAAGCGCTAGATTGTAGACGATGGTCACCTTGAGACACCTCAGGTATATGAGGAACATACTAATCGCATGCGACGTATAAAACAACGGCAAGATTTCGTTTGTAACGTAAATTGTCCAATACACGAAAAAATGTATCAAAACTGCTGTAACTAATACATTTGTAAGGATGAACTGGAAACAGAAATTTTTCAAAAGGGATCCCTCATGTTTCTCTTCCATATTAAGATGTTTCTCCAGTGTAAGGAAAGATTGCAACAACTTTTTCCACCGGTCCATCTCCCAAAAAGCGGAATTCATTATGGAAAGCACACAAAGCATAAACAGGACGAACTGCGAAAGTATCGAAAGGGCTGTTGTGAAATATGGACCATGGTTCAGTAGATTCAACCACATGTAGTACTGATGACAGGAAAAACCGGAAATCACTAGACACAGTACGTGCATTGAGTATATTTTGTACAGTTTTGGTTTTATCACAACTTGTTTATCAAAATCATAGCTTGGTAGGATTGCCAAGCAAGCCATGTAATTGAGAGCCAGCTTCAAAAATTGTATGTTCTGTCTGCTGTACTTTAAGTTCATGTTGCTAGCGTAACATAGGTACTAAACTTATTAAGTTTGAAGTTCTATTAATGGAATGGGTTCTTATTGATGGGAATGTCAATAAACACACTTAGCTTAATGGAACATAAATACAGCATATTGTTACTTACCAGAGATATAACACTCAAAATGGAGAAGTTTAATGTCAGGTAAACAAAGGAACAAATCGATCGTCAGTAATTTCACAATAATACATTTCAAGAAATAACAACAACATCGTAATCGTTGTGTGGAATATTAAAAGTAATATGTCCCATCCGAAAAGTTTATTAAATGTGGTTATAGCTTCTTGTAGCACTCTACATAAGTAAGACACAATTCCGATAGTCCTCAGCAATTCTGATTTCCCTCTGCAATGCACCTCAGTCAGCAGATTGTTTAAGTATTGGTATTTGAACTTTATGGCGAGCCCTATGCTGTAAATCATCTTCACTTTGAGAAATTTAACACACGTGAACAATCTCCGCCGTCAGGATCAACAATTTCGGCTGCATTCTACAGGGTGTGGAGTGTATAATCTGTAAAATTTAAACTATAGATTCCTAACGATATTTGTAATAGAAAAGTCTTATTGTTGTTACTAAAAGAGTTCACAAACAAAACCACATCCGTAAGCATCTGTAGTTGCCAACTGCGTGCACTAAACAAGCTCCATTAAAATATGGACCAAAATGAAATAAAGCATACAATTTCTAGAGAAAATGTTGAAATTGATCCCCATTAGCGCGGATTTAGTCCTTCTTCAAAGAAACAGGGACCCACAAGTACATCGCCTATTATGCCAGCCCAAATATTTACCGAGACCCGATGTTGAAAATGAGTTTCCCTAATCGCCTGAGGATTTTCATCTGCCCATATGTGCATATTATGGAAATTCACTTCATCACGGGTAAATGTCGCCTCATCTGTTACACAAACATAAGCAGGAAAGTCTACCTGATTGACACATTGCCGTAAAAACCATGCAAAAACGCATTCGTTGATCACAATCCCTGAGTAAAATCTGTTGAACTGGTTGCAGATAGTAGGGGTGCAATAACTGACACCTTAACATGCGATGTACGATGCACAAACTAAAAAATTATGCAAAGTAAATTATAAGAATTTCGTTTTTATTGTAATCGGCACGCTATTGTTATTTTTTACTATTTTATAAAAATTACACTGTCACTATCGTGGAATTACAAAATAAAAACTTCTGTCTGGAATCTCTCACTTTTTAGCACTGATGGTTCGATGGATGATGCTTAATATTTAATGAATAAGTGAATAATGAATTCCATACAAATACAAAATCAGTTGACTGCCCAATATAACCTAACCTATTACTAGTATTAGATTATTCCGACTTAAATTATAAGGTTGCATCTCGGGTCGCATAAAAACATTTCCAATGTTTTTAATAAATAACACAGGGTCGCCCTTCGTTTTCGTTGAATAAATGAACTTTAATTTACAAAAAAAAAACGCGAAGATAGAATTTTTTCTTATAAGACTTTTTTATTATAAATATCATCAGGAAGCTGTAGTTTAATTTTTATAGATTATACACGCCACACCCTGTATAGTCCTAATTTCAATGGATGAGATGTTCTTTATACTGACAGAAATAAATCAAACTGATCAAAACATAAACTACTGCTAAACTATAGTATTTATAAGAAGTACTCTTTATTATCTCTTGTTTGTCAAAGGAATAATTTGGAGCGATAGGTTCCAAGTCTAGCTATAATTTCTACTAATCTTATAGTTCTGCTGTGAAATTTCATGCTTTGCTATTGCAGATATTCCATATGCTGACAATATCGATCAATCTTTGGTTACAGACAAACAATTCAATAATTAAATACACATTGTCTCGGACTGTATCAATCTGTTCGAACAGTTGAATTTTAAATTCTTGAAATCACAATACAAAAAATTGTTATTTGTCCTGCATTTCTAAAACCCCTTTAAAAAAAAAATGTAAATTCGTAAACCAATAATCTGATCGATCATCTGAAATATTTGCTCAACGTAATAGTATAACAGTTTTAGTAAAAGGAAACACTGATCTTACCATTGATAAAATCTCTATTGACATTAAAGACGTAAGTACAGCTGAAGGCATGACATATGTGTCACAATTTGTTTGTATCAAATAAATAACGTTGATATTCGTAGAAACCATCGATAGAGCTATTATGTTTGCAAAGATATAAACATTGAAGAAGAACCACTGCACGTAGCAATTTTTTAAAACGTTACTTTCCTGACTAATTTCAATTTTAATACACTTCTCAAGGGCCCAGAATCTTTTGAAGAACAACTTCCATCGATTTGAATTCCAACATGCGGAACCTAATGTTGTTGTAGCGAAAAGGATCAATGTGTCGCCTTCCATAATTAAAGTCAAGACAAAGAATAAGATTTTCTGTGGGGCAATATAATTCCATAGGTGATACTGTACGGAAATAAATAAACTCATCAAGACCAAATCAATAGTCGCAGTATATAATTTGTACAGATTCCAGCCCGTGATATCCTTCTTGTCAAAATCGTAATTCGGAATTATACCCAGGAAGGTACCAAATTTTGTTAGTACCTCCATGGATCTTATGCTTCTTCTGCTGTAAGAAAGTATCGCCATGCTGCCGCNCAGCTTCATTCACTGTACCACTTGTAGAAGCACCCACTTCACGTAGAATCGATCCGTAAAGTACCAAAAGCTTTGAAACACGTAAGTATTAGTCGTATACTTGAATACAGAGCACGCGTAGAAAAAAAGATACATTACCGGCGTTTATAGTCCCAAAAAACTGCCTCTTTGCTAGCACAAGTCGTGTCAATGAAAAAAAGTACAGCTTCTCAATAACATCGAAGGATGCTGTCACTTTGTTCATATGTTTTTTTTGAAACCAATCAACCAATATCAAGAACTTATACAGGGTGTAAGAAGTATGACTGCCATATTTTCAGCATGAGATAGTGTAATCATAAATGAACGAAAAAGTTGTATATTACAGGGGCGTAAAATTAATAGTTTTCAATTCGATAGTTTTCAAACTACTGCGAGTATTAACATTGGGAAGTTTCATACAACGTGACAACAGCGCTTAATCTGCACCTTACACGCGGCAAACTTGTCCTACGGAATAATAAAAATGTAAACAACTATTATTGTGAGACATTTAGTAAATTTCAAGGCAATTGTTTTCCAGTTTTCAAATAAATAAAATGAAATGTATCGATTTTGTAGTACGAAGATAGTGTTGTGTTTAAATTTTAGCACGAATTTTAGTAATAATGAAAACACTCGCTGGAAAGCACCTCAAGAAAAGGAAATAGTGGTACACAAAAAACACTCCGACACGGTCCAATTCCAGATACCAACACTAACTGAATTGCGTATTGCTGGACAGCTTAGTACCTCGTGTTAACCGCCCCACCGTTGTCACATTGTTCGATATGAATTTTATCGAATTTTAAATTTATTACAACGCTAATTATTTTTTAGAATTAAGCACAAAGAAGTAAAAAAGTATTTTATGGTATTCTATACACGCAGTTATGTCAATATTCCTTAATCAATCGAACTTTTGCACATCCAGTTGACGATTTTGATAATTTTTTTCTCGGAAATGGTTGAGATTAAGACCCATGCCATATAACGTTTTTTTGCTTATTTCAATGGATTCTATTGTCTGTTAGAATTAAGATAGTCGAAATTCTAACACCCTGTATAGTCAATACAAGACGTCTACAAACTTGGAAAGTGTAAATAAATCAAAGTATGTAGACGCGATTGAGAAAGAAACATTTTTGGGACCGCTGACGACATCGATAGCTCGGCTGATTAAATATTTGTCCACTGACTTAAAAAATAAAAGGCACTGAAAGCTGAACTGGTAGAACTACCAATTGTTCTGTTTATAACAAAAAATCGAACAAAAACGCGAACGACGCGCCATCTACGGCCACAATTCCAGTGGTTCTCAATAAGTTTTTATTATTATTAATTTTAACGTTTGATTATTG